TATATATATATATATATATTCAAAGCACACTCTAAACTTCATGGCTTATCTTGTTTGTTATTTTCCTCAGCTCAGTCCACCTGTGCAACAACTCCATCCAGAAGCACTTTCAGCCATCTCATGCCCGCCATCCAGGAGTGCCTGAGGACAATATGTGGTCCTGTTCTCAGTTTCGCTCCTACCTGCAGCGACAGGGCCGTGGGGCAGAGTGGGAGTCGGTGGTGGTCCCAGGCATGCAGCAAGCAGTGGTTCATGCCCTACAGACGACTCAGGACCTGGTTGAGCCCCGCAAGGCAAGCTTTGAGCTTTATGGAGCTGACTTTATGTTGGGCAGAGATCTGAGGCCTTGGCTTCTGGAGATTAACGCCAGCCCAACTATGGCCTGTTCCTCCTCTGTGACTGCTCGGCTCTGCCCTGCTGTGCAGGTGGACACACTGAGGGTTGTGTTAGACCGACGGACCGATCCTAATGCTTACACTGGAGGCTTCCATCTCATCTACAAACAGGTTAGACTACCTCTACAGTCACAGGGTGTTTATTTCAGGGGCAACCCCACTGAATAGTAGATGCTACAGAACTAACTGGTTTATGTTTTTACTTTATCACTATTTCCAGGCTGCAGTTGAGGTTCCGCAGTATGTGGGAGTGAACCTGCTGGTGGAAGGAGCCTCCATAAGACGGTCCAGACCTTTGCTTAATAGACAGACTGTTGCTTCTGACACACCTCTCATTGACCTGTTCCCTTCAGACCAGCCATCTACAGAGGAGACAAAACATAAACCTTTGGGTCAGAAGCCACACACAGTTGCTGCTTTTTGCCGTTCAGGCAAAGAGAACCAAGAGACAAAACGGCAGCTGACATCTACATGTCCAAAGAGGGAGTGTGAGATGAGAGCAGCAGTTCAGAACACCTCCTGTGTTCGCAGGTCCAGCCGCAGTCTGGCTTGTGAACAGTCTTTGGTGGTTCACAGTGAACCTCAGAGGAAAGCGAGGCGATTGGGTTTGAGTTTTCGTGCCAATGGGACAACCCTGGTGCCAAGGAGTCTTTCCTTTTCCCTCAGCCCTCCTCACAGCAAGTCAGAGGGCAAACCTCAGTTTACTGCTGGTTCCGGATCACGCATTTCCAGATCCTTCCTTCCTCAAACAACTTTTGCACCCAGACACAGGATTTCTAAACAGGCCTTTCCTTCATTCCAGGGTCCCCTTCCCAGCCTGGAGGTCCTTCATCTGCGACCCAATATTGTGGCCGGAACAACTGTCTGTCGCAAGTCTGCCTTTTCAGCTCATCCCAGCGACCACAAGCATCAGTTGTTTCTCCACTCTCAAAGACAAAGCACGGCCCGACATAAAGGAGAGAACACAGGAGAACATAAATACTAGAGATGTGAAGTGTTAAGAAGATGGAACTCAAGCAGAAATGGTGAAGAGGTTTCATCAACATAATTTATATTTTAATGAGTTTGAGCCGAATAAAGAACGTATTACCTTCTCAACCTCTCAAACCTGATTATGGAAAATTGATGTGACTGTAGGATTATCATCACTCACACTTTTCAGATTCATATCCTACATGCAGAGGCTGAATATATTCAACTTCAAGGTAAATACAAGCTATGTTGACACTGACCTGTTACATTTTTAGAGAGGAATCTGTCGAAACAGGATGTAGGTATTTTAGCTCCCCAGCAGGTGGCAATAAAGGTTCAATGATCAAATGGCATGTTAAGGCCAAAGCCAGGCAACTAGAGGGGATCAAAGTACAGAGAAGGATTGGCAGTCCTTAGCTGGTTTAGTATATCTTTAGCAACAACTGCTTAATCAGACCTTTCAGCCTCTTCATAAACATTAGATCATGATGTAAAAACAGCCTGTAGAGTTTCACAGTGTTATAAGTCCTGGTACAGAACTGTGGAAATGTCAATGTTCATGAAAAAGACCTTGAAAATGACCATTGTTGGAGTAAAATACCAATTTTCTGTGATTTATACACCAACACACATTACATTTGATCAATTAGGTGTAACTTATTCTAACTAATCACCAGTTTTTAGAAGGCAGGGTGTTTCAACTACCTAGAAGTGCAGCTGCAAGAAAAAAGTTTGTGAATTCTCTGGAACTAACTGGAGTTCTGCATTGATTTCTCATAAAAAGTCAGCATGTCATTCACTATTACAGACAAACAATCTGACTAAACTAATAATACACAGGCAGTTATACTTTCCATGTTTTTATTAAACATGTTGAGTTATCAGTCGAAAAATGAAGAGAATTCTTGTATTTTATAGAACCTCTTTTTGCAGAAACAACGTCCAGCAGATTTTTTTTTATTATTATTTTAATTTTTTTTATAGCTGCTTATTAGACTTGCACAGTAACGTTGAGTGTTTTCGGATCATCCCTCCCTACACAGCTGTTTCAGTTCATCAATGTTTCTATGATGTCCTGATTGAAGCCCTCTCCAGGTCCTGCCACAGCATATCATTGGGTTAGGGTCAGGACTCAAAACATGAATTTTCTTCTTTTTTAACCATTATGTTGTTGATTTTCTGGTGTGCCCTGGGTCACTGCCTTGTTGCATCATCCAACCTCTCATAAGCTTTAGGTCACAGATTGCTGCCCTGACCTTCTCCTGGAAGATTTCCTGATACGATTTCAAATGCATTGCTCTTTCAGCGATCGCAAGGTGTCCAAGGCCCTGAGGCTGCAAAATAGTCCCAAAACATAATGCTCTATCCTCCTTGTTTCACAGTTGGGATGAGGTTTTGGTCTTGGTGTGTAGTGTCTTTTTACCTCCAAACACAGCACTGACCATGTTGTAGATGCAGGTGTTTGGCTGTTGGGTTCTTTTTCTGCCTCTTTCAGGACTACATGTTATGCTCTTGGTATAAGAGATACCCAATTCAAAGAAGACAAACAACCGTCCTGAATTTCACCCATTTGTAGGCGTTTTTTTTGTTGTGGATTGTTGAACACCTGAGAAATGCTTTTGTAGTCTTTTACAGCTTAATGCATCTCTATAATGCTTTCTCTGTGAAAGCAGCTGTGATCGAGGCATTGTTCACACCAACCAGTCTGTCTTGAGATGAGCAGACTTGGTCCAAAGCAACAATGTTTATGCATAGAGAGGAATACGTGTACAGGGAGGAGCACCTCAACAGCCAACACTTACAACCTCAGCAAAGTAGCTTTTTGAGTCATGACCACAGGAGTTCACTGACTTTTTCCAGCCCAAACTGTGAATTGTGTCGTTTTTTTCTGTTCAATAACGACATGAAAAATAAAGCTGTTTGTGATTATTAGTTCAGATGAATAGGTTAACAGTCAGATTGTTCTTGTCAATAAATTGTAACTTAGACGAAGATCAGAACATATTTTAGGAGCAATCAATGCAGAAATCCTGACAATTCTAAAGAGCTTAGTCACTTTTTCTCGGAACTGCGCATTGCTAAGCTGACAACCTAACAAACTAAAAGATAATTGTTGGTGGCATTTTGCGGACAGGAAACAATGAAGGAGGAACTCATGGGTATAATGTGCGATAAAGGTGAAAAAAAAAGGAAAAGATTTTTGTGGTTTTATGGTGTTCGTCTTCACCAGGCCTCCAGAAACCACCAACTAAAATGAGTTTAAAAGCCCTTATGTAACTACAGATAAAAAATTTAAATGCTGAAGTAATGTGTAAGTGACACCACTACAAGCAGCTTACAAATACGGTCTCATGACAGCAGTAAAACATGCAACTTCTCAAACCAACCTTAGGGGAACCAGTTTAAAAGGAACTAATGACATTGAGGTTACACGTCAAAACCTTAGACTTTAATTCATGCAAACAAACCAGATATGGACTGCATCAACCCTAACGCTCGGAAGGCAGTGATAGGACGAGAATGACAGAAACAATAATATGTAGATGAAACGGAACTGGGCGCGTGTACAACTGCGCTGAATTAGAGTTTCATCTCATAGCTGAAAAATGTGACAGCACAACACAGGAAGAGGGAATAAATAGGATTTGATGTGATTTATACTGCTACATGTTTCGATGTAATTCTCCAGGATGCGTAGTGTAGTGCTGGGGAAGTAAAAAAAGAGAGATTCGTGACGAATCTGGAAAAAATCGGATTTGCAACTGACTCATAGGACATGTTAAAAATGTCTCCCTGTCTGGATGTTGACAAGGTGCAGATGGATCCTGATTGTTGCCTCAGGAGATGAGCAGTAACTATTTACATTCGTGTGTGTTTACTCGATTCATATTCGTGGGCACAGAAGGTTAACCAGCAGGAGAGCCCGGCTACAGATCTGCCATTACATAAGTGTTCCCAATGACATGCGTGTTGTGGTGCTGTATCGTAGCTACATCTGAAACAGTTTCCTTGTTTTCACACACATCCACCCTCTCTGTCACACACACACACATATGGTCGAAGCGAATTTCCACGGGAAAAAAATACTTTATTAATACACTTATATAATGTATATCAACATTTATAGACAAAATATGTACATCAAACATCTTTCATGTAGGTCCCAAAATATAAAATCTCAAGTACCTCTTTCTATAGAAAACTAGTCTTCTGGTAAAACTTTTACATTCACTTCTCCTCTCCTGACTCCTTTGACTCCAGTATTCATACGCAGTACAGAGAATAAACATCTGAGATTTATCAGCTTTTCACAAGTAAAAGGCAACAGCAAGAACAAACACCGGGTTTGACTTGAGCAGAAACAGATGTTGAGTATGCAGACCAGGTCCAGCACAGTGCTACAATATGTACACAGTTTCTGAGTACACAACGTACATTGTCCACACTCTGCCCTCCTTCTATCTCTCTGGGCGGACAAAGTGCAAGAACAGGTATCAAAAATAGAAATGTACAAGAAGTCTATGAACAATAATTACAGAAAATCCATCTCAACTGTCTGTCATTGAAAAACAAGACTTCTCATTCAGTGTGGCCATGTGGCGGCCTATTCCTTCATCCACCACAGATGTACCCTTAGTCGTGTCTGTACATACTTGAGGGAAACCTTGTAAGTTATGGTGCCAATCATCATAGTGTCGGGTTGAAAGGGCATTTTCATAATGGTGAGCAAAGGACATAGGCAACAAACTTTGGGTGATATTTTAGCGCTAACATTTGGTGCAAAAGTTTCTAGAGTACAACATGGCATGTCTGTATCGCGACAGCTACAAGTGAGATGCATCAGTGTCATCGGCGTTTACACTTGAACAGCAGCATCTAAAACATTTCTTTCTTTACATTCAACCAAGTGTGTATGTATATATGTGTGTGTGTGTGTGTGTGTGTGTGTGTGTGTGTGTGTGTGCAGGGTAGGTCCAGTTTGTATGATACATTTGTACTGAGGAATATCACTGAGAATTAAACATTCAAACAAAACTTTGCATTCTTTCGAATGTGGATAGATGCTGCTCCCACCTCTCTCCCTCTCTCTTCTTGATCATTTCTACAAGTCCTATCGTTTGCTGTTTGACCTCCAGGCTGAGGAAATGGGGAGATGAATGATTATGGATTAAGGAACAGCTTATTAATGTTCTCCGTCCTACTAATGACTCTGCCTCAGGGCGCCAGAACAGGATCATCTCTTCAACTGCTCTCCCTTCTCTTAGTCTTTGGTTTCCAGGTTGAGGGGTGGTACCTGCTTTAGTGCCTGAAGGAGGGCGGGGGAATCCATGGGGGTCTGAGATATGGTTGGGGCTGGAGAGCCTCCCCTGGGAGACAACACTAGCTGAGGTGGAGGTGGTCTCTCGCTGGGCATGGTGGATGAGGAGCCTCCCATACCTGGGTAGAGCATGGGCACAGCCCCGGGGTACCAGCATTTCTCCAGCATTGGCAGGTAAGCTGCAGCGGAGGGTGGAATGAGGTAGAATGGCATGCAGAGGGGGTGTGGTGGAGGAGGAGGAGCATGGTTCGGGGATACACTCATGTAACTGCCGTAGCCGCTGGAGGATGTCGATGACGATGATTCTCCACCCGAGAGTAGCTCATCCTCGGATGACTCCACCCGGGGCCGCTTGTGGCGAGGCTCGTCATCCTCCTGCTTGATGCCAGAGCTCTGCCTGTCGCCCAGCGGCCGCTTCGGCTGGCTCTCCTGCCCGTAGTAATCTGGACGTCCCTGTGGGGCTCCAGACTCTGGTTTCTCCAGCTCTCCCCCATAGCCACTGTCTGTATCTGTATCACTGCCGCTCTGCTCGCCACTCGGTGGAGCGTACACCCGCTGGATGACAGGCACACAGTTCCTCCCATAGCCCTCGCTGGGTTTAGGCGGTAGGCTGGTGGGCATCTCTTTGTGAGGTTGGTGCTGGTGATAGGCGGGAATCTCCTCGGGCCGAGGGCTGAGGGGGGTGTGGGGTCGGA